ATTTCTGTTTGCCACAGCTTTTTTGGACTCTATAGTATATGTTATATTAGTTTCATCAAATTGGTATCATTAATTTATGCTGGATTCGATTTTTTTATCAAAAAGTGTCCTTTTTTGTTATAGCAAAATCGATAGCGTAATAATTTAGGTATATTTTTTTCAGACTGAACTACCTCTGACCGTTGACCCCTTGCTAGCTTCCGGTAACCCATCTGTACCAGTTGCCCGACGTCACATGGGTGACTCGTTGGACCACAGGCTGACAGTTAGATGGAATAACTTTGTAACCACCACCGACAGTAGATGCCTCATTACATGTGGTTACCCAGACTACAGTTTTAGAGTGATTGACACGGATTCAGGTAAGGAGATGGTATTTTTAGTGCAAAAAAATTTCAATGTGTGATTTAGCACGGGTTCGGCAAGTGATCTATGGTCATGGCGATGTCGTGACATGCATTGCTAGATCGGAAACGAGTCTGTTTGCTGATTGCTATGTGGTCACAGGCAGCAATGATTGTACGGTAGCTCTATGGCATTGGAATGGGCAGGTACGGTAATTTTGACATGATTGCACAGCTAAAATCATTTTTATTGATTTTATTGACTTTTTTCTAGCAAGGCTTCGTTGCTGGAGAGTACAATGTGCCTGGAGAAACACCATCACCCCGAGCAATACTTACGGGCCATGAAGCTGCAATCTCTGCTCTCGCTGTGTCTGCTGAACATGGACTAGTTTTGAGTGGATGTGAAGGTATGTTCATACTTTTTGCTCGTGGGCCCTTTGGCACCTGTACACCGCATGCTACCGTAATCTTGCGATGCCTTTGAGAGAAGGGGTGGATTGCACCGCTGTTCGTTCAGTTTTGGACTGGGTTTTTCCCTTGCTTCCGGCAGGGTAAGCTCGCGGAGTTCTGCAAGATGTTATGTTAGCTACTGTAGTGGTGCAAAAGGACCGCTTCCTATAAATTCCCTTTCTTTGTCTGTGCATGCTTTTTTTTACTTCTGTGCAGTGTGCTGAAATCTTCTGAACATGAATTAGTTTTGAGTGGATATAAAGATGTGGTCATGATTTTTGCTCGTGGGAACTTTGGCACCTGTGCACCGTATGCTACCGTAACCTCGCAATACCTTTGAGAGAAGGGATGAATGCATTGCTGTTTGTTCAGTTTTGCAATGGGTTTTCTCCTTGAGTCCCCGACACGAAGTTCGTGGAGTTCTGCTATATGTTACTATAGCCTGTAGTGGTGCAAAAGACCGTTTTCCATGAACTCCCTTTTTT